CCTTATTCCTCTTCGCACAGAACCCAGATCCAAAACTGAAATCTCACTTGTTAGGGCAGTTTCACACATGAGGAAAAAATATATGTATATATATTTAATGCCTGGAGCATTGGAGTGACATCACTTTTACAGATGGAGAAACTGAGGCTCACAGCAGTGAAATGACTTACACAAAGTGAGAGTCCTAGAAAGTCACGGAAGAACCCCAGTGGTAAATTCAAAGTTTGGACCACCGTCCCGGGATGAGGAAGTAAATGACTGCTCGAGAAAATGTCCAGGGAGCTGGCAGTGCCGCATGTCTTGTTGGGGCAGAGTGATTCCTCTCCCGCTGCAGCTGGAGTGACTGGCCTGCAGGCTACAGAAGGGAAGAGCCATGCCCAGCCAGGTGTCCAGGCACACTGGCAGCCTCAGAACCCGGGTGAGCAAAGACAGCCAGGAAGACAGCCAAGAGCTTCCTGTGCTGACAAGTTTATTTATGTGGCCTGAGATGGGGGAGGGGGGCATCATTGTGAAGGACTTCCTGTGTTTCTTTGTCACCGCTACTTGGATTACAGAATCAGGCCTTCTACTCCTTGGAGTTATGGAAGGTAAGTATGGAGTGGAGGGGGAGAAGCCACAGATGTTCCACGTGTAGTAATTCTCCAGGAGGAAAGAACGATTCACATAGAAGCCAGAATGATTGTTTCCAACCTGCGTGTCTCCTATCATGTCAGTTACCTGCAGGTATGAGTGAGTCTCTGCTTGAGTCTCTAGTCCAACGATTTTCAATCTGTTTCATCTCATGGCATAAATAAACTAGTTACTTAAAATCTGTGGCACATCAAAAGATATTTTTTGCTGATCTGACCCCCCCACACAAAAAAAGGTATAATTTTGATTCATTCGCACCATATGGCTATTGTCGTGTTGTCATTTTTTTCATTTGACCATCTTAGGGAAAAGAGGTCAGTTCCCCTGACTAAATAGTTAAGTATTGCATGTTTTAAAAATTCTTGTACCAAGCTATCATTGAAAATTGAAGGAGAAATAAAGAGCTTCACAGACAAAAAACAAACCTAAAGAAATTTACCACCACCAAACCAGCACTGCAAGAAATGCTAAAGGGACTGTTGGAAGAAGAGGAAGAAATAGAGAGAAAGAGGGACAACGGGGACAATAACAACGTAATCATCCACAGAAAGCATTTAGCATAGGTCCTGGCCCACAGTAACCTATAACTACAATACACTGTTAATATTTAAACCTATAAAGATTCCCATAAAAATCAGTTAACCAGCCCTGGCCGGTTTGGCTCAGCGGTTAGAGCGTCCGCCTGCGGTCTGGAGAGACCCGGGTTCGGTTCCCGCTAAGGGCATGTACCTCGGTTGCAGTTTGTCCCTGGCCCTGGTTGGTCGTGCAGGTGGCAGCCACTCGATGTGTCCCTTTCACATCGATGTTTCCCTCTCTCTCTCTTCCTCTCTCTCCCTCCAACTCTGTCTATACAAAAAATGGAAAAATGTCCTCGGATGAGGATTAAAAAAATAATAATAAAATAAAATAAAATTAGTTAACCAAGCAGGACAACCAAGCAGGAGAGATACCACACAAACAAAATGAAAGATAAAAACCATATGATCTTCTCAATAGATACTAAAAAAGCATTCAACAAAATCCAGCACCCATTTCTGATAAAAACGCTCAGCGATGTGGGAATAGAGGGATCATATATTGATATAGTAAAGGCCATATATGAAAAACCTGTTACAGCCAACATCATACTTAACGGGCAAAAACTAAAAGCATTTCCCTTAAGAACAAGAACAAGACAGGGATGCCCACTTTCGCCACTCTTTTTAATATAGTACTGGAGGTCATAGCCACAGCAATTAGACATGAAGAAAGAATAAAAGGGATCCCAATTGGAAAGGAGGAAGTAAAACTGCCATTATTTGCAGATGATATGATATTATACACAGAAAACTCTAAAGACTCCATCAAAAATCTACTAGACTTACTAAACAAATTTGGCAAAGTAACAGGATATAAAATTAACATCAAGAAATCAACAGCATTCTTATACACCAATAATGAATTCACAGAAAGAGAAACTGAAAAAACAATCCCATTTACCATTGCGGCAAAAAAATTAAGATACCTAGGAATAAACTTAACCAAAGAAGTAAAGAACATCTTCGCAGAAAACTACAGGCCATTGGAAAAAGAAACAGGGAGATATAAAAAAGTGGAAGCATATACTTTGTTCACGGATTGGAAAAAATAACATCATTAAAATGTCCATATTACCCAAAGCAATCTATAGATTCAATACAATCCCCATCAAAATACCAACAACATATTTCGCAGAACTAGAACAAATACTCTAAAAGTTTATATGAAACCGCCCTGGCCGGTTTGGCTCAGCGGTTAGAGCGTCGGCCTGCGGTCCGGAGAGACCCGGGTTTGGTTCCCGCTAAGGGCATGTACCTCGGTTGCAGTTTGTCCCCGGCCCTGGTTGGTCGTGCGGGTGGCAGCCACTCGATGTGTCCCTTTCACATCGATGTTTCTCTCTCTCTCTCCCTCCTGCTCTATCTGAACAAAGAATGAAAAAGTGTCCTCGGGTGAGGATAAAAAAAATAAAATAAAATAAAAGTTTATATGAAAACAAAAAAGACCCCGAATAGCCACAACAATCTTGAAAAAGAAGAACAAAGCAGGAGGGATCACAATACCAGATATCAAGTTATACTACAAAGCCACTGTAATCAAAACAGCCTGGTACTGGCACAAGAACAGGCATATAGATCAATGGAACAGAATAGAGACCCCAGAAACTGACCCAAGCCATCATGCTCAATTATTATTTTACAAAGGTGGCAAGAGCATACAGTGGAGTAAAGAGAGCCTCTTCAATAAATAGTGTTGGGAAAATTGGACAGCTATATGCAAAAAAAATAAAGATAGACCACCAACTTATACCATACACAAGAATAAACTCAAAATGGATAAAAGACTTAAACGTGACTAGTGAATCCATAAAAATCCTAGAAGAAAATGTAGGCAACAAAATTTCAGACATCACATGCAGCAGAATTTTCAATGATACAATGCCTAAGATGAGAGAAACAAAGGGCAAAATGAACACATGGGACTACAACCTTTGACCTGGAGAGTATTATCCTAAGAGAAGCAAGCCAATCAGAGAAAGACAAATATCACATGATCTCACTTATTTGTGGAATATAATGAACAAATCAAGCTGATGAACAAAATAAACCCAGAGGCAAAGAAGAAGGGTACAGACTGACAAACCTCAGAAGAAGGGGATGGCGAGAGGGAGAGATAAACTACAGAATTTATATGCATGTATGTGTAACCATGGACACAGACAACAATGCTGGGGCAGGGGATTGGGATCAGGAGGAGGGTGTCAATGGGAGAAAAAAAGAGAAACATCTGTAGCAAAACTAAATTAATTTAAAAAATAAATAAAAATTCTTGCACATGCCTGGCTGGTGTGGCTCAGTGGTTGAGCGTCGACCCATGCACCAAGAGGTCGCAGGTTCGATTCCAGGTCAGGGCACATGCCCAGGTTGTAGGCCCAATCCCCAGTGGGGAGCATGCAGGAGGCGCCAATCAATGTTCTCTCTCATGGATGTTTCTATCTCTCTCTCCCTCTCCCTTCCTCCTTTTCTAAAATCAATAAAGATGCTAATTGCTGGGTTTCTAGACTAGTGAGGCATTGTGGGGACCCTTTTGGGACAACTTTCTTAACTTCACTGCACTTATCTGTAAAATGGGGCTAATCTGCATATAAAGTACAAAGCAGGACAGGTGGGAGCAGTGTCAGCCACTGTGATGGTGGTTTTTATTTTCATAGGTGGGAACATGGAGACTCAGGAAGGGACCTGCCAGGTCCAGTGTCAAGGCTGCAAATGCACAAGCCTTGGACTCTAGTCTAGACTCTGACCTCCAATGTTTGCCTCTCTTCATCTGTTTGTTCCATTTGGTCAGTCAGTCAACAGCCAAAAAAAACAGTTACTGGACACCTACCAGGGTCCCTGCTGGGCATTGTATGGTTGATAACAAAAAAGTTTCTCAACAGGGAGTAGATAAACCAGAACTGAGGGCGGTGGTGTAAAATCCTCCAAGGCTCAAATTCCACCTTCTCCACTTGCTGGCGCGAGATACTGCTAAGATCCGGAATCTCTCCCAGCCTGCGTCCTCCTCTAATAACTGGGAAAAGCAAGACGTCCCAGCAGCAAAGCTGAAACCAGGCACTGGCTCAGCACCCGAACCAGATGAGCGCTGTTATTATCTTCACCATCCCATTTAAAAAATAAGCAACCTGTGCACATGGCAGTAAATTCTTCCCCCTTGCCCGGATACCCAGGGTCCTAGTTCTGTCCGGGGCCCACAGTTAACAACGTCTTGTGCATCTTACCAGACGAAAGACGCACACCCCCGGCAGACACCCTGACCCCGCACACGTTCGCTTACACCAGCGGCAGCGCCTATCAACGCGGCACTCCTTTTTTGTTTTGTTTTTTTGCCTCTCCCTTTTTTTTCATCTAAAGTATCTTGGAAGTCGTCCCGTATTAGTGAGTAAACGACCTTTTTCGTCTTAGTGGCTGCATGCGAAGCCGATGTATGGATTACTGTCGCACGTGGCTGCGCTATGATCAGCCTGGGGACTGCGGGCACTCGCGATCCAGAGAGCTGCATCGTTAGGTGGGTTCCAGCCCCGCTCTGCCCGGAAGTTAACGAGTTACTTTGGGCTCCCTCTTCCCCACCGGCACTTTCACGGCGAGGGGAGGGGTGTGGGTGCGGGCGGGACCAGCCTGGCGGGTCCCGGTGTCGGGGTGCGGCTCGGCGGAAAGCGCGCGCTATTTACGCCCGCGGGCGGCTCGGGCTGGGGAAACCTGTCGGCAGCCGCTCTGCGCACAGCAGCACCACACGCTGCGAGTACTTGGGCACAATCCAGTTCAGACTCGGTTGCCAAACCCTCGGTCTTCGGCACTTACGTCGGGGCAGCAACGCTCAGCAACAACGGCTAGTCACCTCGGCGCCGACCGCTTCAACCCTGTCACCAAGGACTGAGCGAAGGTTAGAGCGTACCTGTCCCTTTAAAGGGGCCAAGTCCGGGCTCCGCTACTTCCGCCCCCAAACAACATGGCGTCATCAGGGAGAGGAGGGGGTGAGGGCGCGGAGACAACACCCCTCAAAAAGATGGCGACGCCCTGGCCGCCGCGTTCGCGCCTTAGGGTGACGTAACTTCCGGGGCGGAGGAGCCTGAGTGGTGCAGTGAGGGACAAACAAAAGGAGGTGCCGGAGGGACCAGCCGCCACTGGCGGGGCTGAGCGGCAGGAGCCCAGGGGCTGCCTGCTGGGCGGCCGGGCGCGGGGGGCCCAGGTGAGTGGGTGAGGTGGGGAGAGAGCGCAAGCTGTCACCTCTCAAAACGCACTCCTCTACACCCCCGGCCAGCTGCCCGGCTCCGGGCACCCCGGCAGCTCCGGTTCTGCCCGCTGGGGCCGGCTCCCTGGGGTCTCCCGTGGCAGGTCTGTTCTGTCTACGTCCGGCTTCCCAATCCCTCGGGTCTCCGGGGCCTCATCCTCTCCCCGGTGCCGCTGCGCGCGAGCCCCCTCCCAGGCACCCTGCGCTCCACATACTGGGAGTTTCCGCCTCGGCTCCCCCAGGTCCCCAGTTAGCCCCTGGATTCCCCCAGATCCTCACCCCTCCATACACACTACCCCTTCGCAGAGGTTCCACCTCTGGGCTCTCTCCTTGCCAGCTCCTTTTTATTTTCAAAGGTTCCCTCTGCTCCCTTCTGCTGGCTCCCGATCCCTCCTTTCCCCTTGGGCCCCTCCCTCCTCTTGATCCGGCGGGAACAGCGTCCCGGCTTGGGGAAAGGGTCCCGGCTAGGCTCTTGTGGCCTGTCTGGGCTGGGGTTCCCGGGAAGATTGGTCCTGCGTCCGAGGCCCGGGAGTCTGTCCATGTCCTGTGCATTCAGATGGGCCTGAGGGCCAGATCTGATTAGGTCGGGGTGGTACCGCTGTGGGTGAGCTGGAGATCCAGCAGAGTTGGCTCCCATCCTGAAGGAACATAGCCCCAGATGCTTCTGGTTCATGATGATTCGCTCCTTTTGTTGATTGCTTCTACCCTTGATCTGAACCAAGATTGGACTGGTCTTAGCTGATGCAACTGCTGCCTTTTTTGGAAAGGAGGAGAGATGGTTGGGGATTTCTGACAGCCTCCTCTTGGTAGGGACTTGGCTGAAAGGGTGGAGCCGTCCCTTGGTGACCACATTCCCCTGACCTACCTCTTCCCCAGGAAGTCTTTTGAGGATGAAGTGTGAGGATGAGGACGCAGGGAGCTGGGTGAGGGAATGAATTTGGAAGAAGGATTTGGAGGAGCTGAAAGCCTCCCAAGGGCCTCTCCCACCTACCTTTTCAGTTAGGAGTCCTTATTACCCTTGCCAAACTGTATCCTGCCCTCTGAGCAGACAGACTGGCAGACTTACAGACTGGAGGCAGAAAGGGGAGGTCTGCTGTTAGTGATACTTCCTGTGTAGGAGATGGAGGAGTAGGAGTTTGTTCAGAGGGACTGGGCAGTGCCCGTGGCTCATTAACATTGGCATTTCCTTCGTGAAGGTCAAGTCTTCCTCTCGTTCACAAGGGGAGGCAAGGGCAGTGCTGGGGAACTGGCTTTAGGAGAGATGCTGGGGCGTGAATGACTTGACCTTTGCCTCCCTGTCTTGCAGGTTTTAGAGATTCTTTGGGTCTAGTACCTCTCTACCTTCCAGGGGCTGTGGGACACAGAGCAGGGGCTCAAGACATCTTTGTGACTCCTCCCTGGAACTCAACCAGATGCTTTTGTATTCCATCCCTTGGGCACACCCAGGAGGAAGCGGTTTTCTCTGCAGACTTTGAGTTGCCTTGCTGGACAGTGGGGCTCCTGAGATTTACTCCAGTAGGTCAGAACTCAGGGACATGGCTGGTCATTAGGTTGCTGCCTGGCCTGGCCTGGCCTGGACCTTGCCGGTAGGAGTTGAAGGGAAGGAATCAGCCTGATTCCTGACTCCTTCTTTCAAGAGTGGAGGTGACATTGAGTGGGGACACTGAGGCATAGGCAAATAGCCACTTGTAACTGTTGACTTGGCATCTCCCTAGTCACAGTCCCTCCTAATGAGGAGGGAGATAGGATGAGGTAGGATGGATATGGCACCCTAGAGCCCAGCATACTATCTCTCCATCCTTGATTCATTTGTTCGTTCACTCAGCGGTCCTTTGGTAAGAGCCTGGCCTGGTCCAGGAATGGTGCTCGGAGAACACAGCTCCTGACCTCCTCTGAGTTGCAGTCTCGGAAGAGAGGCAGACAGGAAATATGGATACAGCTTAATAATAGAAACAGTACAGAGGCAACCCAGAGGAAAGAGGCATTAGCTCTAGGTGAATATATAAGGGTCGGTCACTTTGTTTCCTAGAAGAGGAAGGAGTAGAAGAATCAGTTGCAAGGAGTCCAGAGGCCAGAGTCTGGTCCTGGATCTGCCACAAGCAAGTGACTAGACTGCCTCATTGGGTATCCACATCATTGCTGAGGAGGGCAGCTGCGGGTAGGGGGGTAGAGGCTGGCTTAGATGGCCTCTGTGGCTTCTGCCTAGTGCTCCTCTAGGTGCTTTTCTGCCTAGCTGCCATCACCCTTTGTGGGATTGCTGGGTTATTATCTCCCTGTGAGGCTGGAGGCTGGAGGCCGTCTTCTGGTTCTTTCCTCCCAGCACAGTGCCTAGCACTGCGTAGGTGTGATATTTCTCCATGGCATAAATGGTTGAAAGGCTTCACAGTCCCTCCTAGAACCCTCTAAGTTCCTTTGTCTGCCTGCACTCCCTCCTTCACCATTCCCCCTTGCTCCTTCCTGCTAACTCCTGCTTATCCTTTGGCCTTCTTTAATGGCTGGGTCACACTCCCAGCTCCTGATTGATTTGTTTATTTTTATTTATTTATTTTTCTTTATTGGTTTTTGGAGAGAGAGGAACATTGATGAGAGAGAACATCAGTTGGCTGCCTCCAGCATGCCTCCCACTGGGGATTTGGCCCACAACCTGAGCATCTGCCCCAACAGGGAATCAAACTGGCAACCTCCTGGTTCTTAGGTTGATGCTCAACCTCTGAGCCACAATGGCCAGGCACTGCTGGCTGATTTAGATGTTCCCTCTACCCCTGTTGTAGTCTGAATACACTTCTCCCCCCACCCTGCTAACTTGTCTTGTTCACTCTTGGGAATATTTCTGAGCAGAGTGCTGGGATGATGTAGATACTCACTAAATGCTTCTTGACTGGTAGATAATGGCTGAGTTTTGTATTTGAATTGAATTCATGTGTCTGGGCTGAGGGTTTGTCTTTACCTGGATCTGGCTCACCCTGCAGTAGCTCACTTCTCTCCACATCCCACTTCCAGCCCTGGATCTAGCCAGATTGAACCAGTCAGCATTCTCTAGATGCCATGTTCTTTCCCCTCCAGGCAAACATGTGCTGTTCCTTCTGCCTCAAGCCTCTTTCTCCAACCCCTACTCTTCTTCCTCAGCAGTCAACTCAGACAGCACCTTTTCTGGGGAGCCTTCCCTGGCGCCATCAGTGTGGGTCTAGTGTTTCCTCTATATTCCCACAGCTTTTAGGTTCCCACAGCAGAGCCCTGGGCTCTTCAGAGCCACTTGTAACTGTTGACTTGGCATCTCCCTAGTAGACTGTCTGGTTCCCTCTTGTCACCCCAGAGCCCAGCTGAGGGCCTGGCACCAAGCAGGCACTCAGAAAATGTTGGCGGCACAGCAGGTAACTGCTAGTCACACACATCCCTGCTGACAGTAGCTCTTGCTTCCTCATAGGGAGGCAGCTTCCATGGAGCGAAAGAAATGCCAAGACCCTGCCCAGACAGAAGTGGGCCAGCCTCAGCACCGACAGCCAACACGCAGATAGCAGAGCCGTCCCCGGGGTAAGGACTGGGCCCCTCTCCCTCCAGGCCAGCCATGGCCTCCGCTCAGCTGCCTTCCCAGCCTGGGAGCAAAGGGCAGTATCTCCTTCGTCTCTGCATTCCTTTGCTCTTCTCACTGTAGGCCCAGGACATCTAGGGCAGAGGTGGCAGAAAACAATTCTTCCTGCTCCGCCTAACTCAGCTGAGTAGTGTGTGGTTGCTGTACTCTTTGAATGCCAATGTTAAGTTTCATTGCCAACTCTGGTTTTTTTTTCCTTCAGCCCCGATCTTGTCAGTCTGGCTTGTTGTGGATACTGTCTCATGACCACATTTCCCAGGGTGTGTTCCGTGGAACACCAGTTTCTTTGGTCACAGTGGGAATCAGCTTGTCCTTGCTATAGGACTTCTCAGAGCCTTGAATGCATTGAAGCGAGCATCGACTCTCTGAGAGGGAGCTAGCAAGTCATGTTTCCCCACACTTATTTGATCATGCGCATGGACCTGTTTGAGGACTGGGATTCCTTGGCCTATGCTTTGGAAAACAGTTCCCAAAGGCAGGGGAGTGCTTTGAGCAGGGCCGACACTTTGTAGTCAGACCTGGGTTTGAGTTCCGATTGTCTCATGTTCCACGAGTGACTGTGAATCAGTCACTGTGCCTCTGAGGGCCTTAGTTTTCTTATCGATCAAAGGGATAATATCAGTACCTTGCCTCCTTTTAGAATATTTTGAAGATTAATTATTTTGATACAGGGAAAGGCACTTAGCTGAGTATGTGTCCTGGCACACGTTCCCCAATCATATTAATGTATGTATAGACTGCTTTATAATTTGAAAAACACAGCCTTATCAATGGCCTTCATCCCCTGTGTATGGATGTGGAAACTGAGGCTGTGAGAGAGGAAGCAATTTGCCCAAACTCATCGGGAAGGAAGGTGGGGATATGGGACTTGATCCTGATCCTGGAATCCTGGGCCAGGGTCCTTTGCTCCCTGCCTGAGGCCTCCCTGCATCTACCTCCCACCTTGGCTTTTTGTTAAGGAAAGCCTGGCCCTTTCTAGCTTGGATTTTCAAAGAAATATTATTATTATTATTATTATTATTATTATTCTGTGATTACCAACATAGTTGCATGTTCGTTATGTTTTACTTATTTACTTTTCTTTATTGATCTTTAGAGAGAGAGGGGAAGGAAGAGGGAGAGAGAGATAGAAACATCTATGAGAAAGAACATCAATTGGCTGCCTCCAACATGCTCCCCCACTGGGGATTGAACCCACAACCTGGGCATGTGCCCTGACCGGGAATCAAACCAGCAACTTCTTGGTGTATGGGTCGATGCTCAACCACTGAGCCACACTGGCCAGGCTCATTATGTATTTTTGTTTTTGATTTTGTTTTTCTTTTCTTTTTTTTTTTTATCTTCACCCGAGGACATTTTTTTCCATTTTTTGCACAGATAGAGTGGGAGGGAGAGAGAGGAAGAGAGAGAGAGAGAGAAACATCGACATGAAAGGGACACATCGAGTGGCTGCCACCCGCACAACCAACCAGGGCCGGGGACAAACTGCAACCAAGGTACATGCCCTTAGTGGGAACCGAACCCGGGTCTCTCCGGACCGCAGGCCGATGCTCTGACCGCTGAGCCAAACCGGCCAGGGCAATGATTTTGTTTTTCTTTATCCTCACCGGAGGACATTTTTCCATTTTTTGTTCAGATAGAGTGGGAGGGAGAGAGAGAGAAACATCGACCTGAAAGGGACACATCGAGTGATTGCCACCTGCACCACCCATCCAGAGTTGGGGACAAACTGCAACCGAGGTATGTGCCCTTAAGCAGGAACCGATCTCAGGTCTCTCTGGACCACAGGCTGATGCTCTAACCACTGAGCAAAACTGTCCAGGGCTCATTATGTTTTTATAATGTTTTGGTTTTAATGTCATATAAAAGTGAAAGTCTCTCAAGATCTCCTTCTCCAGAGATGTGAATAATTTGCTTATGTATCCAAAAGCACGTCCTGTTACAGCTGATGGTCACAGCTTGCTCTTGCTTCATTAATGGTTACCCCTGGACCTCTCTCCCAGGCAAGGGGAGATCTGAGAGTGTGTGTCCTGTCAGAACATCTGACATTGTTTCTCCTACCCCATTGCTCCCTCCCCTCACCACAGGAGGATTTTGTGTTGGGGCATTTGCAGCAGCAGAGGTGGGTGGGAAATGCCTGGTGTGTGATTTTGTTGACTCTCCTGTTTATTGGGACAAGGTCAGCAAATCTGGGCCCTACCCTGTAGGAGTTTCCTGTTGGTTTTGAGGAACTCTGTCCTGCAGAGAGGAGAGGCCTGAGCTGGTCTCTGGCCAGCGATGAGCAGGAAGCAGCAGGTCCTACTTATCTGAGATTAGAATTCCTCCTCCATGCCAGGGACAGTGTGGAGGGGATGGCATGGGCTGGACTGAGAAATTTGGCCTTTCTGTCTACCTGAGGCAGGGGCGATTGGGAATTTGAGGGGGCACACACGAGTTGTTGCATTTGCCTGAGTCTGGCCCTGACTCAGTTTACCCTGGCAGCTCCTGGCAGAAACCTTGGTCTTGATTCCCTTGCAGTGCTTCCTTCAGGTTTGAGCCTTGAGGGTGTGCAGGGAAGAAAGTGGAGGGGCCACCCTCTTTTCGGGCACAAAGGCCTCAGGCTGGGTTTCGGCAGGAGGGACTTCGGGCCTGGAAGCCTGGTTTTGTGGAACCAGCAGAGTGACTTGGCAGGATCAAGCTGGGGATGGGACTTGTGCCTGAGAAGTCTCCCTCACCTGGCGAGGTTCTCAGACTCACTGGCCTGACCCTCTCTCTCCCACATTACTCCCTCTCATTCTTTCCCTGGAGTCTTTCCTTCTCATAGAGTCACTCTGGCAGAGAGCCCCAGGAGTTGGCCTCTCTGCCTCCTCCCTGTTTCCAGCAGCAGGGCCCTCGGGTCCAGTGGTCATCCTCAGTGGCCACGATCTGGGCGTTAGGCACTGTGCTAGGTCATTACATACATTTACCACCTTACCTGCCACAGCCACATTTGTGGGGCAGTTTCACCATTTTACAGGCCAGGAGTCCAAGACTCGGAGGGACGAGGGCTCTTGCCCAAAGTTATCTTTGTGGCAAAGCCAGGACTGAACCCGGTTCTGTTTGCCTTGGCAGCCTGTGCTTTTACCCCACCTTTCACTTTTGTTTTTCTCTAGGTTCTCAGGCTTGGGGTACCTCAGAGTGTCTGGGAGCTTGTGAAAATGTTATTTCCCCTGAGCCCACCACAGACCTGCAGTCAAAGCCTGGGGGCTGGGCCCAGGAATCCGCACTTTGAAGAAGCTCCCCAGGCTGTCATGAGGCCAGTAGTCTGCAGACCACGCCCAGAAATACTGACCAGGGCAACTCTTTCAGCCCTGGTCCCCACCTCTGGTTTCTCTGCCATCAGTACTGATGCCCTTGGTGTAGAAGTTGATTGAGTTCCCCTCAGTACCGGGGGATTTTAGTGACCTCCCAGTATGTCTGTGTTGGGGCTTTGGGACATTTAACTTTCCCTCATCAAAGATGTGTGGGACTGACATTTCTAGAATAACTTTTACTTCCAGCCACAGACATCCCTGCTGTCTCTTCCGATGCATTTCTACTGCATCTTGTAGCAAGTACTACATTTAAACATCTCTAGAGAGCTTAAAACCTCAAAATTAAATAGACAGCTACAATATAGCCTCCTGCCTAGAGTAATGTTCCACTAGAGTAAAGGAGCTGTAAAATTCCACAGCTCTCACTTGCCAGTTAGACATTCTCAGAGGCACCACTGCCAAATTCACACCCTCTGACAGAGTCAGGTGTGCTGAACAGGGCCAGGACCGTGTGGGAATACTGTCCTTCCTATCTCCCAGCTGGTGCCCTGGGTCAGCATCCCAGGGGGCAGCCCCTCCTGCCAACAGAGCCAGGCATCTCACCCTCTGCCAGGCCCTCTCAGTCCTAGTCCCCTGGGATCTCAGCAGAAGGTGCATCTACAGCCTCTTTTGGGTGCTCATGCCCATGTTCTGTTACCTGTCCAGAAGCAGTGCTGGTATTTTTTATTTTTATCCTCACCCGAGGATATTTTAAAAATTTACTTTAAATAGGTTTTGCTTTTTTTTGTTTTTTTCTTTATTGTTTTTAGTGAGAGAGGAAGGGAGAGGGAGAGAGAGAGAGAAACATTGATGAGAGAGGGCATCAGTTGCTGCCTTCTGCATGTCCCCCACTGGGGATTTGGCCCTGTGCCCTGACTGGGAATCGAACCAGCGACCTCTTGGTGCATGGGTCGACGCTCAAGCACTGAGCTGCACTAGCTGGGCTAAATATGTTTGTATTGATTTCAGACAGGGAAAGGGAGGCGGAGGAGAGAGAGAGAAAGAGAAAGAAGCATCAATGAGAAATATTGATCGGCTGCCTCCTGCAAGCCCCCTACTGGGGATTGAACCAGCGACCTCCTGGTGCATGGGATGAAGCTCAACCAACTGAGCCATACCAGCTGGGCTTAAATTGATTTTAGAGAGAGGAAGGAGAGAAAGAGAGACATTGATCAGTTGCCTCCTATCTATACCCCAACTGAGGATCGAATCTGCAACTTGGGTATATGCCCTGACTGGGAATCCAACCCAAAACCTTTTTGGTGTATGGGGCAACACTCCAAACAACTGACCCACCTGGCCATGGTGCTGGTATTCATAGCAGATCAAGACCTGTCTGTAAGACCTTTCTGCCCCCATGGGCCCAGACCCAGCACCTGGCTTCTAAGCCCAAATCCAGAGCTCAGCTCCCTTCTAAAGTTTTCCTATAACTGTACCTGAAAAACCCAGAAGCATCTGAGTGTGGCCTGCTAGGGTTCCCTGCAGAGACCTTGTTTCCATGCCCCCTCAGGAAAAGGCAATCTTGTCCCGGGAAATGTCTCCATGGGTTTGGGTGCCTGGGTAGGACCAGGGGACCAGCTTACTTTTGAGGCAGATTGGCACAATGGAAGGTCAGATCTGGGGTGATCTTT